CCCTGTGGAATTCCGCATATTATCTTTTTTGGGCTCGATAGTTGTCCGTTTATAAGACATTGTTGAACTCTGTTATTCAGGTATGATTCGAACCATCTTAGTTGGTTTCCTGTTACTCCGAAAAAATTACGCATTTTATCAATCAGAATTTCATGATTTATGGAGTCGAAGGCTTTTCTAACATCAAGAAAGACTACACAATTTATTTGACCACTATCCATGTTTTTAAGTAAATTATCACACATTTGTATCAACGCAGACAGGGTTGAGTGTTTAGGTCTAAACCCTGACTGGAATTTAGAAAGTAATGAGTTATTGGAAAGATAGCCATAAAGCTGTCGAAAAACCTCTCTCTCAAAAACTTTACTTACAATGGGGAGTATGGAAATTGGCCTATAATTTTCACATTTCCGTCGATCTTCAGATTTGTAAATTGGAATTACTCGTGCTCGTTTCCAGTCATTCACATAAATACCAGTGTCAAGTGATAAATTAAATATATATGTTAATGACGGGGCAATAATATCTGCAGAGAGTCTGAGAACATTGGCTGGAATTTTATCAAGGCCAGTAGATTTGTTTATCTTAAGGTTCATTAATGCCAGAAAAACGTTTTCCACATTAATACGATGGAAATGGAATATCGTATCTGTTGTGGGATTGGAATTATTGTAGCTATTCGTAGTGTGTTGAGTAAGAGGCTCTTCACCAGCTTCATGCTCTTCACTAGTTTCAGAAGCTAGGCTAGGGCCAATGTTGACAAAATATTTATTAAACTTTTCAGCGATTAATATAGAATCGGTAATGCTGTTGTCATTCACAGATATTTCTGTAATACTGGAAGATTTGTTATTCCTTCCAGTAAGGGAATTTATAAGGGACCAAATTTTTTTGAAATCATTTGAATATGTACAGTCCCCTATCTCTTTGTGATAAAAGTCAATTTTGCTTTTACGCATTTGCTTATTTACTCTGTTCCGTAAGGATTTGTATTTATCCCAGTGAATTGATGATTTAAATCTTATGGCTTTCTTTTTATGGTAATCTCTATTCCTCATTAGTTGTTTAATAGCAGGTGTAATCCATGGGACCGAGTTAGCCTTAGTTCTTCTTTGGTGTACAGGTGCATGCTTATTCAAAATTTCGTAAAAAATTGATTTCCATAGAATAACGAGTTGCGAACACAAGTAATTTCGTCTTATTGGGATTAATAAGCAGACTATTTAGAGAACACCAAGAAATGAATTTCCGTAGATCTTCGTTAAGCTTAGCAGCCGCTGAGTTCACTTCATTGACGGAAAATGACAAAAGTAGCTTCTAGTCGTCGACGTAAGACTTCAAATTACCATTCTTTGGTACCATAGGTAAATCATTAATATATATGTTGAATAACATGGGACCGAGAATTGAGCCCTGCGGAACGCCATGATTGAGTGTGCGTGTTTCAGAGACAGTCGATCCAATGCGCACAACCTGCTGTCGTCCTGTCGAGTAACTTTTAAACCAACATAAAGCGTCATCGGACACTCCCAATACTTGGAGCTTTTTTAGAAGCAATAAATGATCAATACTGTCAAATGCTTTAGAAAGGTCTAGTAGAATTACAGCTACGACCTCCTTGTCGTCCATAGACTTTAAGATCTTATCCGATATAAATAAATTCAATGTTTCAGTGGAGTGCAGCTTCCTGTTTCCACTTTGGTGTACGCTTAAGCATTTCTTCTATTCCACATATGCGGTAAATTGTTCCAAAACTACACGCTCGCAGATCTTTGATGTAGCAAGTAGCAAGGAAATTGGCCGATTATTTTTAGCAATATCGTGATCCCCTTCTTTTAATAGGGGAATAACTTCTGACAACTTCCAGGCGCTGGGAAACAAAGATTCTCTTAAAGAGCAGTTAACAATATCCGTAAGAGGTTGAAGAATGTATGGTAAGGCATCTTTGATCACTTTCACGGAAACTTTATCTGGTCCAGGGGACTTATTGGATGGAAAAGAACACACAATTTTACGAATCACGTCACAGGACACAGGGTGAAATGAAACTTTTCAATTTCTGCACTAAATTTATGTGGTATCTCTGGATGAGTCGATGTAAGACCATATGAAGTAATCAACGCTTTGGATTCTTCTGCCGCTTTTGCTCCGACTGAAGAAAAGTATTCATTAAATTTGTTCGCTACTTCAACGACATTCCCAGAATAAGTTAAACGTGTTTTTTTCATTTCTAGGAATACATTCTCTTACAGTTTTCCAAAGGGAGTTGTTGTTGCTATTTTTGTCATTAATTCTTTTATACACAAATTTTCTCTCGGATTCTCTCATTTTCTTTTGATTTGATTTCTACATGAACGATATCTGTCCCAGTCCAGGGCCTGCAGGGTTTGACGGGCAAGTTTATGCAGCGCATTTCTTTTTTTCATAAGTTGAACAATTTCCTGGTCAACAAAAGGGCACAAGCGACGTTTAATCTTAACAGTCTTTATGCATATCTAATACACTTAGAAATTTCTGATTAAAATTGTCCAGTCGCTGGTTAACGCCCTGGTCAATTGGATTTTCTTGCCAAATCAGCTGTTCTAGATCATTTTTAAACGCTTCAGAAGAATAATTCTTAAAACTTCTTATGACCATGCAATCAGGTAATTTCTTAGGCAATTTAAGCTTTAATATTGAATAAACCAGAAAGTGGTCACTGATGTGCGTTTCTTCAACTCCACTTTCCACTACCAAGCTTGTGTTAGATGTTAAAATCACATCGATGAGAGATGAGGACTGCAAAGTCACCCTAGTTGGTTCCTTGATAAGTTGGAATAAATTCAAGCTGCTGCACAATTCGTTCAACGCATCAGATTCTGGACCACTTTTTAATAAGTTACAATTTAGATCACCCACTACGAATATATCTTTTTTCAAAATAAGTGCATATGAATAGTTGTCCATGAAATCGTCCACGAAACAGGAAACTGGACAGTCAGGAGGTCTATAAGCAACACATAGCACAATAGATTTCATTTTCTTATGTTGGATTAATATCCACAATTGATGAAAACCCATTGATGAAATTACAGATATATCCTTTATAATCTTTGTTTTCAGTGAGTTACGAGTAAAAACACAAACACAACCTCCACGTTTACCAAGGCGATCCAACCGCAACTGTAACCTTCAATTTCAACTTCTGAATTTTTTACTGTGGAATTAAGCCATGATTCCGATATCGTTAAAATGTCGTACTGATGTTCGCCATTAAGTTCCCTCAACTGGATCAAATTATCTCTATTTTTCAGAGATCTGACATTCAAATGAGCGAGCTTTAGTTTTGAATTTGAGTGATTATGATTATTCGCGTTCTTTGTTAGAGAAGGACAGTCAATGGTTTTCTTATAATTTTTAATTACAATGCAGTTCTCTGCGTTATGTTGCTTATTACAAAACATTCCAGTAGAATAAACACTCTTCAAATTTAATGTACGTGTCGTAATTCTGACAGGTATCTGTTTTTCTACATCAAAGGAGGAGGATAAAGGGAAGGTTGGGGGGTGGGGTGGTATGTTGGGATCCGAAAAGGAGGAAAATAACAAGGATTCACAGGAAAAGGAGAATAGCGAAAAGCAGGTAAAAATGGGGATTGGCCCATTGGATTATGGAAGGGTCGTTGCATGTTGTTATGCGATTGGCGTTTTTGATGTGGGAAAGCTTGGCCTATTGAATTATGGTGGGGTCCTTGCATGTTACTATGAGATTGATGTTTTTGGTGTAGGAAATCACACGCAGGACCTTTTTTACAGAAACCTCTTTTCTTCAGGAATGGACAAGGGGTTAAATGTTTTGGGTATTTGGATGGCGCTCGAATGGAATGATCGATAACGGGTCCAGAGGCGTTGCTATTAGTGCTATTTTGATGTGGGAAAGGCTGGCCCAATAATACTGCTTTTGGTCGGAAAACCTCGGAATCAGAATGCATATTAAAACCGCGGTTAGCTTTTTGCCGATGCGTGGGCTAAACCGCAAAAAAACCGCCCGATAACCGCCCGATAACCGCACGTTAACCGCACGTTGACCGCACGTTAACCGCCCAATAACCGCACGTTAACCGCAGGCTAACCGCAAAACGACCGCAACCGCAGTGTTAGGTTAATTCTGAGCGGTACTGTATGGATGGCAGGAACATTGTACGTCATGATATTACAAACCTGTATATATACAGCAATATAACTAGCTATTGGACAATAATGATGGCCGACAATGGACACTACATGATGAATATGATTAACTACATATTGGACCGAAAACAATGGTAACACTTGTTTACCAAATGAAAGCAAACCAAAGACCATCATTACTTGCAACAAACTTAATTGTACCATGTTCAAAGACATATTTGTTTTTCCTAATTATTTTCTTCCAGACATTTTCACAAGTGAAGACTAAGTAGTGACTTTTATTGACATTTAATGTCAGTTTAAAATATTGGCACCAAAAATAACATCACATTGTATAAATATAAAATTCCGATGTACACTTCACACATTGTTTTGATTAATCACACAGGTGTTTTGACGAATCATGGAATGTGACTCGTTTAAATATATCGAAGTCGTCCTGCCTCATATCTCGTCCCCTTATTCAGCAAATTGCGCATGCTGCCTTTCATACCTTGGGGTGAGGCAGCATTTTCCTTGCGATAGTAACTTCTAGTTATAATTTTAGGACTACTAAAACTACTACTACTACTACCACTACTACCACTACTACTACTACTACTACTACTACTACTACTACTACTACTACTACTACTACTACTACTACTACTACTACTACTAC